TTGAATTGACCATGTTGGAGTTAATTAATTAAATTGCAACGTACGCCATGTCATAGTTTATCTTCTACTGCAATTTAGTATTCGTCACTTTCTCGCGACAAAAATGCTATGGGCAGCGTAGCGTTGCACACAGGTAGCTCCAACGCGCTTCTGAAACGCAACTACTGCGTAAAAAAACAAAAACAGGTTTCACTGGCCCGATTACGTATTCAAGACATAGAGATTTACGAGACCGTTTCCACTTGCCATCCACCTGCCGGCCATTTTTAATCGGCCAGGCGTCAAGGACGATTTTTTTTTTCTTTATCTTTCAGTGCGGATGGTTCTTGGAAAGACGTTAAGCTCCACGTGCTTAATTTAAAAATTTTAACCACAAGGGTTCTGTGACCAAGGTCGAGCTAACTTCGTCTGTGAGCACGGAATTCGGAATTTACCACGGGGAGAACCATCCATGAATTTTGAGTATGCACTTTGTAATTCTAACAGCTTAAGCTTAAGCATATTCTGTATGTTAGTTTGTGCGACTACACTGAAAGTAATCTGGTGTGTTACATGACCTTGGTCTAAACTATAGTTTGTTAATCATATTTTTTTCGGTTTATCATCCCCTTTTCAAATCTCCTTCAGAGCCCCGCCCTTCCTAAAATATGTTTGATATCCTTTGAATTTAATAGTGGTTGAATCCGTATTGAAATTTTCAGGCATTTTCTGCACTCGCAGCGTAGTAAAATTTAAAGTTCATTATAATATTCGAAGAAAGACTGTTAATGATTAAAGACTGCACATACATACAATCATAACGCTTAAACTTGCTTTTAGAATTTTAGAATGATAGGCCGATAACGTACATTTTGTATGTATCTTTGGAATAAAAACGAAGCGTATAATATACAGCTTCAAACCTCCAGTATCAAACTGGAGGTATCAGAAACAGCAATGAGGAACCTTCTGGAAAAGAGAAGGAATGCCTAACACTAAGGAATATCGCTCTAATGTGCAAGAAATGGACTTCATAGATGACCCAGTAAAATAAGCTTTCCATTACAAAAGCCTCTGAAATGAGGTTCCAAAAATCACAATAAAATGGAAGTTATATAAAAATAATCGTTTCTTATTTTTCTGATGAACAAGCTGCATTTTAAGAAGAAGTCGGACCTAGTCAATCCTTTCTTGTATTGATGATATAAATTGCAGGAAAAAATGCTAAATGTTTTAATTTATGCCAAATTTACTACTTTCTTTTATGTGATTACATTTTGCACGCTTTAAATGAACTTCTTTATATTAATCTATTCTTTTTCATTATTTAAAATGCATTTTCACTCGTCTTGCGGCATTAGTTTGATGAAGGAAATAAATCGCAATTATTTGCACTTCATAATAAATTAATCGTTATTGAGTTTACCAAGTTGAAGAGTGTAAAGCACAAAGAAGTAAAGTTTTTTTTTTTTTTTTTTTTAAATTTCTTTGCCAAGAAATCACGATTCATTTCAGCGGTTCCCAGGTTATGGTGCACGTACGGGAGTGCCTAGGTATAAACGAAGAAATTAACAATAACGGCGGTACACAAAAAATTGGTTACAAAGAATACTGATGAAGAAAAAACAAAATGTTCAGAAAAGTTTAAAAATGTTACTGAATATGAAAGAACGTAATTGTGAGGAATTCTAACGTGACAGGTGCTAACCAAAATTTAAAAAAAGCAGTGTAATTAATTGTAATTAACCGCACCTACACCATTTGTACTGCTCAATTCCATGCTCATTCCTCACGAGTGGCCAAGTGGTTAAGAAGGCTGGGTACTGGTAATTCGCTTAAAAAGTTCTCCATGAAGGCATCCCTCTCCTTAGTCAGATATCCTCCGCGCACTTTGTTATAATCAAATAACCCAACGTAGCCTTACTCATCGGAAAGCTCTGCTTTGCTGAAAATATGAAGAATACATAGGCTAGCTGCAGTTGGAAGACCCGCTCCGGAACTAATTCAAGGAAACGATTCACTTTTCTCAGCGAAGATCAGCGATCCAGGGAAAACGGAGCGGTAGTTCTTTAACAGTTCACGGAGAGCTTTTGTTTGGAAGCGTACCAAAAATTTGATTCTCCCTTATTACCAACATTCTTTCCTTTATTATTTACCGGAAACGTCTCTTACCTTTCTTTTTATATGTGTGTGTGTTATACGTATATATGTGGGCTTTGGTTTGCGTGGGTTCTTCTAGTATTTAAAAAACAAAACATTAAATAAACCGATGCATCTAAGGAAAACTTACCATCCCTGATTGCAAATGGATTGACTCCCCCCCCCATCTGGCAATGCGAGGATCTGTTTAACGTAAATAGATTATAGGCACTCAGTTTACTCTTCGGATTCCCTGCTGTCATCGCTCCGGCGCGCGTTCTTTAGTCGCAGATCTGGTTCCTTCGGAGTCTTGATTATTCGCTCTTCATCTCTCTGCCACTCCTTTTTTTAGCCGCGGATCTGGATCCTACGGAGTCTTCATTGTTCGCTCTTTTCATCGTTCCGGCATTCCTTCTTTTAGCCGCGGATCTGGATCCTAAGGAGTCTTCATTGTTCGCTCTTTTCATCGTTCCGGCATTCCTTCTTTTAGCCGCAGATATGGAGTCTTGATTATTTGCTCTTTTCGCTTCCTCCGAGCGCATCCTTTGAGTTTCATTTCGATTCTTCGAATACTTTGCCATAGTATAGCTATGTATATCACGTATTACCTTTTTTTTATACAATGTTATTATAACATTTATATAACATAATAAACTATATGTACATATATATATATTGCTTATTTTACTAACGTCAAGAGCTGTGAATTCTTGCTTAACCTTCTTTAGAATTTGTATATATTTATAAATATAAATTTTCTATCTAATACATTTTTTTCAAGTTTGTAGAATAAAATATCGACTCTACCGCACAGAAGAACCTCGAGCGATATTCGGTATCACTTTATCAAATTAGACAAAATAAAAAAATGCCGGTTTTGCCAGCAGACAATATCCTGTTGTTTGGGATCTGCCACCAATCTAAACGTTTATTTTTATACTGTGATTTTTAGTAGCAACAAAATATCAATTATAGTAATAAAATAATGTAATCTTTAACAAAAGTGAGTTTCGTTTTCATTATTTTTCAACTTTTTGAGCGTTCTTTTATTACAGAATTTTACTGTTAGTTTTATGTAGAAAGGTGTTTTTAGAAAATCTAAAAAGTATAGCTGAAAGAAATTAGTCCAGTGAATGAGCGGTTTGATTGAGTTGATTCCACAGATCCCACTTCTTGTTCGATTCTTTCTGCATTTTCCTCATTTTTGCGTATCGCTCTTGATCCACACCTGTTCCGAGGGCACTCATCAAGGTCATTGTTAGGGAGCAGTGAATCGTTAAAAAGAACTGATTCACTTCAGTGAGTGAACGGTTCCGAACTGATCCCTTAAAAGAAGAGGTTTCGTCTACCTCTAATGCTAGTAAACACAACAAAGTTACGGCTCCCGTTCACGTGTTAGAGACACGATAGGTCTTTATCCTGATATCTGCCTCTAACAAGTCGTCGCTTGATAAGTATGTGCCAACACTCTTTCCTATTTTGCCCACAGCAAGTCATAGTCTGTCAAAACGATTGGTAGGCAGTAATATTTTTAAAACTGAGTAAATCGTTAAATGACTTATGAAGCTATCTTTCTTTACATTTATTTTACTGTCATGTTCGTTTGATTGTGGAGTTTTGATTCACATTAGTTTATCTTCTTTTATTTAAATGTAAGGTTAATGTACAGTTTGTTAAATGAAAGTGAATAAGATTAAGGGTAGATTTTCGCACACAGCTAAAGCTACAATGGATAATAGCTCTGATTTGGCAACTGCGACCTATCTTTTCCAAAGAACCAGCTGGGCAGGGACGAAGGTATTACTCTGGTAACAGGCTGACTAGAAGTAAAATAATTCTAAACAGCGGTCCATATTATAAGAAATGAACATATTCTGATTGAATGTGTATTATGGATTTTTCTGTTACAAAAGGCCTAAGACAATCCCAATTTTCTTTGTATAATATGTAAGAGCGTTTATCAAATAGAAATATGAAACTTTCGCTACTAATGCATAATTTAAAAACCAAAGCCCCAATTAGAAAGAAATTAATAATAATAATAATAATAAATTTTGATTCTAAATTGTCTAAATGTCCTCATGCAAAATCTTATCTATTATTATCTAATATATATGAAGGTAAGTTTGTAGAGTCATTAGGTTATTTTGAGGTAGGATATGTGAAAAATGTGCAATGCCCTCGCCGGGGCTCGAATCTGGACCTCTCGAATACGCGCCGAGTGTGCTAACCGTTACACCAAGAAGGCACGCTTGAAAGAGGAAGAAAATACCTTATACGTTATCTATTGCTAAAAAAGTAAAAATTACTGCTGACAATCAGTGCAAATTTGCAGTAAAACATACTCGAAGAATTAACAGTATTTTTATGGTTTAAATATTTGCATCTGATATTAAAAGAAGTGTATTAGATTGTCTTTTATAATACACAGAGCTTTTATTTAAAAATATGAGTCCAATTATGTTTGAATTTTGTCTGATTTAAAAAGTACAAAATACTACCAAGCTCGTATATTTCATTTTCCCCTCTTACATCAATTTAGAAATCATCATTTTAAAATACAGAACTAAAATGCTATAAATGTAAAACTATGTTTCACGAAAGATCATGTCGTTTAAAAATATATCAGTATATAACTATTTTATTGGCTTTTCTGAGTTCAGACGCGTCAAGCGTATAATGGAAGAGCATCTCTGAAAAATTTACGCATTATTTATATGATCAATATTTAACTAAAATGATTATTAGGGAATATAAATATCTGATAAAAGAAACAAATTTTTAGATGAAAAAAACTTTCGGAATCAAAAATACTTTGAGGGAATAAAAAGAAAAAAAAAGTATTCCTAATTCTTCAGAAACATGTGATCTTAAATTCTTACCATAGTTGAATTCAAACAAAGCTTCCGAGGAACACGAAATACGCAAACACTTCATCAGAAAACATCAGAAAAGTTCATCAGAAAGTTAAATCATGTAGTGCAACTTACCTAAAAAGAAAAGAAACTTATTAATTCAAGAAACACAAAAAAGTAAAAAGCAGAAACTATACAGTAATCTAACACTCATAAACGAACAAATAAAAAAGTGTCATTTATATTTAAGCCACCAGCCTTCAAGTCTAGTAACTAATTTTTAAACATATGCGAGGCTATCTACAGTTAAACAAATTCAGGCTATTAATATCAAATTAGAATACACTTACTAACATTTAAATAAGTAAAAGCTAACATCTTTTAAATACACACTTTAGGCCACAGAAGTAAATAACTATTCACACAATATACGGTATAATTAAAAAATGCACAAATCGCTTTTAAGAGATGCAGAAATAAAATAATATTTTGCAAGCATTATTTTTCTCATACCGTCATTTAACTACACAACACATAAACTTATAATAGAATGAGACAAATTCTTCAATTTCTACTTCTACAAAATCAAGCAGCTTGCTTTTGAAAACTGCAACTTAATTTGAATTTCATCTTTAGCATTCTGCTAGTGACGATAAAGTCATATTTCCGCTCTAAAGTCCTAAGAATAACTTGTGGTTAAGCGTTCTCTTTACTTATTTTTTAATTGTGTATGTGAAAATAGAGGATAAGGTCATAAACGTAAGCCTTTACAATGAATAACATAATTCGTGTCACTTATTTGAACTTTATCAAGTATCCATGTTTTTAAAAGTTTTGCTGCTCTATTCTAAGCTACATTCTCTTTCATGAAAGGAAGGGGAAAAAAGACTTCGATATCTGGAGGGAGCTTAGCTTCGTGGATAACATAAACAGTCGACAACTTCATTAGAAAGCCTACCACGAACCTGAGTTAAGACAGATAACTTATGTTTGCTCTTCCGTCATCAAGTATCTAAAAAATCAATTCACAGTACGAAACAGACAGTTTCATTCCAAAAGCTTTTTATCAGTCATATTTTCACTAATTATTAAGCCTGCTGTTAAAGACTTAGAAAACTTAGTATTATGGATCGCAAAATGTTATAATTGAAAATATTCAGAATCAATCTAATCTTCCAACCTTTATAGCTCACGTGTTTTAATAACAGCGCGTATAATCTCCTTATACATGAGTCCCATTCCCAAAGACGCCTACTATAATGTTCCTTCCCATTTCGGAGGCTGAATCCGCTCTGTGTTCAGGAACCAACAACTAATAATGTTAGCCTCCGACTTCTCTGATGTTCTCAGCATCTTTTCCCAACAGATCTCAAATACGTGACCAAACTCGTTTGGCGATCGGCCAACATACCATTTGCCGCTACACATGACTCCATCACTTCTATGCATGGATAGTCAGACAAGTCACACGTCCATCGGAGAGAAGCAATAAATAATTGCTAACCAGCATAACTTAATTACATGTCTATCAGCGACGAATGTTGCATTACAGCTATCAACAGTAGCTCCTCGTACTTATTAAAGCTAGGACAAAACTGCCATGTCATTGACGCAATACATTGCACAGCAGCTATTTACCTAGATAATAATGTTCTTTTTTCAGTCCAAATAAACAGATATGTGTCAATTTGGAACTGTGTAATTACAGAACTAAATAATTTTCATTTCATTATTTAATGTATCTCTTGCAAGAGACAAGGTAAACATCAGGAAAAAACTACGTATGATATATGTAGTCATGGCACGTAAGATGGTAATTTTTCAAGGTACACGCAATTAATTATTGATGTAGTAAATCTGGAACATATTTATAACAGCAAATTAACAATGATGGAAATGAAAATTTGTACAAATTGATACAAAAGTTACATATTCATAAATATTAAATAAATTCATATTAAATATATTCATATTAGATTCCTACTCAATATTATTCATATTATATATATTAAGTAAAACTTTCATGTGCTTAGTTATGATGGTAAGTTCTTTCCAATAATTATTTTTAAAAATATTAATAAGAGATTAATAAAATACCAACTAAATATATTTATTTAATGAAATCGGTTTCCTTTCCTAGATATTAACTAGTGATTCATGAAAGGTAAACGAGGAAATTAGCTAAAAATACATAACTGACAAAACAGGCATAAAAAAATTCAAAACTGCTCGGCGTTAGACACCTTTTTATATTTAACTAACTGCATGAAATCGACTTGAAAATACAGAACATGAACACGCTGCTCTATCTTCGCCAGCTAAAGGGAAGTAGGAACTACAACATATCAACGCAACTCTAGTGCATTAAATTAAAAACAAACTGCGCTTTATCGTAAACGAAAAGATAAGTTTATACACATTTTTGCACCAAATCAATAAATTAATAAAACAACTGTAACTAACAATTTTTAGGGGGTAGGTAATCGGCTTGGGTCTAAAATGATTTAAAAAAACCCGTGGTTTGCAACAAGATTTATAATTATTCACTATAAGAGGTAACAACAGCAAATTTTTGGGCAACTATTTTTAATGATGCATGGAAGTAATCTGTAAACGTTTTCGGATTAATTTCATGCATCATTAATAATGTTTTAACATAGCTTCATTGATAAAGTCGTTTAAAAGTCACAGTTAAATCTAACTTAAAGAGATTTTTTCACATTCTTAGAGTTCTTCGTTAATTACAAACAAATTAAACACATGACCTTAAGAATTTTCGAAAAATGCTGCAGACAAATTATATGTTTCTATTAATACTTAGTACATGTACTCAAAGAAAAATACCATTTCCACATTTCAAACAAGTTTTCTCACGATGCCTGAACTGCTTTAGTTTTCTCATTTTGTCATGAAAAGCATCTTTAACTAGATGCATCATTTTAACTTTTCATGTAAATGCGTTATTAGACAGTAATTGGATACAATTTACAAACTAAGAAATGTTATTAAGCATACTTAAACACCTCTTTTAAAACCGATTTTATTTACTCACATTTTATACATATTTAAATCAAGATTATTAGTTTCATGCGCAGTGATATAAAAAATTAATTTACCTTACAATTTTTTAATTTTTAGGCAGAAATTCTAGGTAAAGATATCTTCTTAATGCGCATTATTTCACGTAAAGAGTAAAGTTTATTAGCTTAATTTCATTCTACTTACCCATAGCGGCTGCTAATGGATTGTAAGTTACTATTTTCCAGGGCGTAATGTTTCTTTCCTTTTTTATGCCAATTTAAAATTCTGGAAAGTTTCTGAACAAAGAAAACAAGTAAATATGTAAACAAAGTTAGCATTTCGTTGCGTAATGTGTTTATTCAAATCTAAGAATGAATTTTTTTAACACGATAAAAACTGGCTGCGTATTACGCTTTGGCTTAATTTAGATATTTCTGATAAAAAGCTACATGTAATTAAAAGAAAATTTCTTTTATCATGCCATCTGTATTTTTCAGATGTGTCAGAGCTTTTATGCAGGAAATTTGTTTGTCATTTCCATTACACAATTATTATATTATTTAACGTTAAACCTAACTTCATCTACCACAAAAAATGCGCTCATTAGATAAAGAGATCTTGCAACAGATGTGCCATTTTAATTTAAAGAGGTGGCCAAGTCAATTTCACTTAAAGAGGTGGACAAATTGTAAAGAATGAGCCGCCCAGAAGGGAAAGTGGTTAGTGACTCTGACTGTCATACCGAAGGGCCCCGATTCGAATCCGATGTAAATTGTCTTTCTCTTCATAGGGCGCAACGGTAGCCCACTTATTAGGTGCTTTTATAATAAAGTGACCAACGCTTCTGGCGTTGGTAGTGGCCAACACCCATAATGGCTAGTGCCTGTCAGTGGAAAGAAAAAAAAACTTGTAAAGAATGATAATTTAAAGGAATTACTCTGAAATAATGTAAACAAGTATATACATCAGATATCCGATCGTCTTTAATACAGAATATAAATAATTTCTTGCAAAAATATCTTGATTAGTATTAAAAATAACTCATCTATAGGTTCGGCAACATTCAGCGTTTTCGAAATAAGGTTCATAGATTTCGAATATCATAGACTAAAGCACTATAATATTCGAAAACAGGATCATGCCGCCTTGATTTATTTCATATTTACACTATAAAAGGTCCTCAAAAGCAAGGGGAAAATTGGGTTGGACTAACCGGTGTGAGCAACTTAAAAAAAATACTATTACATTTTTTTAAAAATTACCTGCCTTTCGCCAAGGCGCAAGGTGTCACCACACGTAAGTGTCAGTATCTTTTCAAGCTCACATATGACTCGGCAAGACACAAGGGTGCCTTGACATACAGGCAAAAATGTGCCGGCACCCTTACGCAGTACTGTATCATGAAGAAAGCAACCGTCGCCATGGTTGCCCAGACATTCATGTGAAGGTCTTAATCTTTGCGAACAACTGCTTACTTGCATAAGGTGCCGGAATCTTTATAACATTTTATGAAATCATCCAGGGACGAGACAGGAAAAGTCCTTGCTTTTATGCAACGGTGTAAAGAATTAGAACCCACAATTATGAATTTGCCAAGAGCTAATGACAACAGTGGGAAGACGATGAGTTACAAGATTACCATTAGTTTAGCTTTCTGTTTTTTTTAACTGTCATTAAACCTTTTTCTTCTTATGAGTTTATCTTTTTTTTCTGCATTAACTGTACAATTATGATTAATGTTCCAAGTTTTAAAATCATCGATATCAGGTAGTAAAGAATTTTCACAAGCACCGGTGTCTCGGGAATTTTCCCGAATTCCCAACAGCCCCATGTGTTCCTGTCTTCAAGTGAAACGCATAGTTTGAATTTTTCCTGATCTGCAGTCAATTAGTGTTTTTGAATCAATGAGTAAAAATATGCGAGATAATGACCGTCTTGAAATGAAAATAAATATTTTCATCTTAATACGCTGCTTTGCTTGGTTTACCAAGTGAACCATGAAATAGTTCTCCAGAACAGAAAAAGAATGACTCACAAATTCAAGAAAATATGTTAATAAACCCAACGCAACCGGATGTTACTTTAAGGCCATAGCTGAAAAGAAAGTTTTTCTC